TGGGATTGCACAGGACTTAATGGGATGTTTAGGGGAGGAACCAAAGGTGGGACAAGAAAGGGGTTTTGGTGACTTGGGGAGGAACAAGAGTGGGGAATACAGGGGTAAGGGGATAAAAGGGGTCAGGTGTGTGTAGGTAGGTGCGCTTGTCTGGCCATGCCCTGCCCTGCCCAGCACAGTCTGTCCTGTCTGGACAGCAGCTGGAGTAGGACTTTGGCCTTGGGGGCTTGTACGTCCAGGGGCCAGGAACTGGGTGCAGTTCTGAGTGCCTAAGTGCAGCTGCTGCAGGATCCACCTTGTACGTCTATTTTTCACGAATGGACTTTCATCCTGTCAAGCCCGAGACAGGAGCAGATGAGGCCGTTGCTGCTATCTGTGTTCATGAGGGTAGAACCAGAGGTTCACAGCTCCTCTGTGATCTGTGTGGTCAGCCACGTATAGACACGTACATGTAGTGGATACGTGTGCCTGCTGGGAACTCATCTTCAGCCTCGCTACCGGTTGGATCTGGGGACATGGAGCAGCAGCAGCCTCGCCACTCTTGGGCTGTTGCATCCAGATGATGTATTTTCCTCTAATGCGTAGCGGCTAGGTTTTTAAGGTACTTCACAAATGTTTGTTCCTACCATCAGCATCTAACAAACTCTATGGCTTCTTTCCATTTTTATAGGAAAAAACACCACCCTGGTCCAGACACTGAAACTTGTCAACTGATGGGACAAAGAGCTGAGACACTTGGCTGTACTAGGACACTAAAACATAGGGTTTAGCCAAAGAAAATTTCCCCAACGTGGAGGCTTACACCTGCCAAACCCTGTAGCATTCTTGGGAGGCTTTTCTATACCTCTTCTCCATTTCCAGCCTTTCACATGGCATGGTATTCCTTTTGACTTCTTTTGCAAGCTAGCTCTGCCTCTGCCTTCTGCTTCCCCTTATGCTTTGGTTTGGGTTACCCGGTGTGAGCTGTTGGCTGTAGGCTGTTTCTGCATTTCTGCCTCCAGCTTCTACTTGGAGGCTCCTCTTGGATGTTGTGACTGACCTGCTTTTTCTTTCTCTTTTACTGTATCTTTCTCTCTCCCCCCAATCTGTCTTTTGCATTCTCCGTTCTTCCCACCTCCATTACTGCAGGTTCATCATGCCTAGTGGCATATAAAAAGACTCCACCTCCTGTCCCACCTCGGACCACATCAAAGCCGTTCATCTCTGTCACTGTGCAGAGCAGCACTGAATCGGCGCAGGACACCTACCTGGACAGCCAGGACCACAAGAGCGAGGTGACCAGCCAGTCGGGACTCAGCAATTCTTCGGACAGCTTGGACAGCACCAGAACACCCAGTGTGACAAGGGGAAGCGTCGTGACTCCAGCAAGAGAGACTCCAGAGTTACCCCAGAAAAATGCAACTTTGAAAAGTGACAAAGGGACTCTGACTAGCGAAGAGCCTAAAGTCGAGAATATCCCCAAAAGAAAGCTGTCGTCTATAGGAATACAAGTATGATATAGTTTGTTCTCCTTTGTCCTAAGGAATGTCCTTAACCCATCCATTTAGCGTGTGCATTTTGTGTGACCAGGTGTGCATCTGAACTACTTAGAGTACCAAGAGAAACTAACTGCCTTGTCAAATTAACTTCCTGTGTTCCCGGGGGTGAAATACAGCAGAAGCTTCCCGTAACAGACCAGAAAGGGCTAAGTTCTTTTTTTAGTACAAAAGTAAAATGTTTCATAGGGCAGTGGGACTGTGTTAACCGGGTGAGTCCCTCTGAAGAGGCCTTTTGCTGCTAGTATGCCTGTGCTCTGTACTATGTATTACTTAACATCAATCTGCTCCTTGTCCACCACGGGTCTAGGGACAACTTTCTTCGGAGAGGTGGGCCCTTCTACTTGACATCCATGTAGTAGTAGTATGGGCTGCTGCAGTGCAAAATGGTCCCAGGGCTGCAGGCAGGAGGGAGCAATTCCTTGCTGTCCACTGTTCCCAGCAGGTTGCTGCTTCTCTTGCCGGAAGCATTTAACTCTGTGGAAATCGATGGAAATGAGCTGTTGATTATACAGTCAAATGACGACTCATTGAGTAGCGTAAATCCATGCTTTATTCAGCAGACGTTAATTCATCTGCAACTCTTTTTGTGGACAGATTTCCCAGTTACGGATGGCTGGCTGCTGCGAGCACTCGTTCTGTCCTGAAGTGCTGGTTCAGTGCTGCAGGCTATTACCTGCAGATAGGAACTTGAGCGCTTGGGCAAGCCCAAATGCAGGATCTGGGCTTTGAGCCACCACGTGTGTGTGTGCTGAATAAGTTCTGCACTGGCTTTACAGTAAGGCTAGCTGGCCAGTTAGGTACGCGTGATATGAAGGCTTTTCTGCAGGGCTGGCGGGGCAAAACACATGCTGAAAGGGCAGCAAGGCAAGATAACGTACATTGGAGAGGCTGACTGCCTTCCTCTCCCTTTTCTGAGCTGGTTCCCAAGCCACCTGCCCCACGGCCTGGATTTCCTTCCTAAAACCTTCTAACCCTCTTACCCAGAGCTATGGAGGGTGTCAGTCCCTGGGAGAGAGGAAGCTGGGCTTTGTCAGTCTTAATCAGATCGCTGCCCTGTCTTGAATCTCTTGGCCTTTGCCCCTGTCGGATGCCACACATGCAGCTGCTCCCTCAGGGGGACACAGCCCTTCCGCAGCGTGCCAGAGCCGTGCTAACAGCGGTGGGTGGCAGAGCCAAGTGCTCCTGCAGCAGATACCTGGCAGCAGCCCGGCAGGATGCGGTCCTGATGCTCAAGCAGAGGCAGACCCGAGCCGTAGCCTTGTGCCTCTCCTAAGACAACCCTCCGGTTGGCGTGTGGTGTCAGCGTGCTGTGTGTGTGTGCAGCACTCCTGGTCTACTAATGTGAATTCCAGCAGCAAGTTCTTGTGTCTGTTTTTGTCTGTATTTTTCTTGTTTAATAAGGTTGACTGCCTTCAGCCAGTGGCAAAAGAGGAGCCTCCTCCACCAGCCACCAAATTCCAGTCCATCGGGGTACAGGTAGAGGACGAGTGGCGGTAAGTGAAAGACGCAAGCTTTTGTAGTTTCCTTTCTTTTAAATTGCGCTTCCCCCACTTTCGCTTAGACCTTTTCCCCTTCTTTGTTCCAATATGAGTGGTGTTGATTGGGGGCCCATGGAGAGCTCTTCCTCCACAGCACACACCCGCTGCAAAAAAGCACTTGTTCTGTAAGCAGCCAAGTCAATGGGAGTTTGAAATTAAAAAAAAAAAGTACAAGATGTAATTATAGATGTGCGTCAGTCCTCTCGTCTGAACGGCCTATTGCAGTAAGCAGGCAACCTTATAATTTTGTCTGTCTGAATGTGTGGTGTGTGTTTGTGTGTGAGGAGGGGCAGGGCGGGCAGGGTGAGGCTCAGCTGCAGGCATAATGAACAAATGCATTTCACTGCCAGTGTGTGAGGCCAGCCAGGTTGAGTTCTGCTATTTAGTGTTTGCTTTTGATCTCTTTAGAAACAGCCACTCTCGCAGCATGTCCTCCAAACAGGACACAGACTCTGACACACAGGAACTTAATAACTCTAGCTGTAAATCGTCTGAGAGAAGCCTCGCTGAGTGCCCCCAACACAACAACTCCGTTGGTGTTGATGCCACTACCAGGCAACCAGCCAAGCCCTCACAGATTAAGAGAAACCTCTCCTATGGAGATAACAATGACCCAGCCCTGGAGCCTTCCTCCCTCCCTCCTCCTGACCCCTGGCTTGAGACATCCTCCACCTCGCCATCAGAACCCACGCAGCCAGGAGCCTGCCGGCGGGATGGGGACTGGGTTCTGCAGCCCATCAGACCCCACGCAGCCAGGAGCCTGCCGGCGGGATGGGTACTGGTTTCTGAAGCTGCTGCAGGCAGAAACAGAGCGGTTAGAAGGCTGGTGCCGCCAGATGGACCAGGAGACCAAAGAGAACAATCTCTCTGAAGAAGGTAGGTGTTGTCAGCCTCTGGATGCTAGACTGGAGCGGCCCAGCAGCTCCTCCCTTGCGAAAGAGTTGTAACTGAGTATTGGATCAGCTTTCTGCAGTTAAATTGCTGATAGCCCACAGAGTAAGGGTGGAACATGGAGGTGAGTATGGGACAAGGAACATTGTTTCTTTGGAAAGGATAAGGTAACTTCTAGCAGATGGGGTAAGAAATAATACTGATACAGCATAGAAGACTTTGAGGGGATAGTGCAGCTTCTGACCATTCAAAAGTGCTAAAAGCTGAAATGGATTGCTTTCAGGGAGGCTGTGGGATCTTTCTCCCTGCCTAACCCATTGTACTCAAGCAGGCAGGTGAAAGTGTACTTGGCAGCGGGGCAGAATGAATGTGACTTCTGAGCTTGTTTGATCTGTTGAATCGGTGGACTTGTCTTCACAGCAAAGAGGAGGTTTCTTCATATGGGAAGGCTTCACTGGATTTGTACTAAATACACCAAAAGCACATGCACAAGGCCACTTGATTTTATTGCATTTAGTCCCAGTTGGGCTTGTTTCATTATTTTCAAATGAGTTGGCAAAACCCGTGCTGCTTGCAGTGAAGGTCATGCCTGTGGTGCATACAGAGTGACAGAAGTGGGTGACTAGGCTGCAGAGGGCAGGACCTTTGTTTTGAGTCTGGTTGATTTTTATTGGTTTTGATACCTGAGAAAGGTGAAATAATGGTGAGACTCAGTTATAGCTCGCTGTCACTGCTAGGGCTCGGGGAGCTAATCTCTAATCCTATTGCAGTAAGATGCTGCACTGGCTGCCAAGCTGGACAGGCAGTGCCAGGGCTCTCCCTGCCTCAGGGGATGCCCTTGTTTTGCCTGTGGCAAGAGTGCTCTGGCACGAAAAGACACCAAGGCTGGCGTGGCATTATATCTGTGACCTCTGAGAGCAATCTCCCAGTAGATTCTGTAACCGAGAGCTTGGGCACAGAGAGAGCCCAGCGTACGCTTGTCCCACCAAGATCTATAAATGCTCGGAACTGGTTCAGTAGGTGCAGCAGCACACCAGGGAGGAGAAGGGGAATCGGTTCATCCTGCTCATGGTGCAGTCTACGCGCACGGTGGGTGTCTCAGCCCTGCCTTTGGAAGGCAAAAGCCCATACAGCATTTTTCCATTAGTGAGCAGAGGAATGTTGCCATACCTAGAAGCTTCTTGGAAAACCCACTAAGAGCAGCACAAAGTCCTGGGTACTAAAAGCCCTAGCCTGCCAGCGTTTTAATCCCTTCTGGTAAATGGAGGTTGGAGACAGTTCTCCTACCCCTTGCCGCCTTACCTCCTGCGTGAGTGGAAGAGCAGGCTGCGATCTGCAAGCAGGTGCCAGCAGATCCGCTCGCTGAGATTGTGCTGGATGCTTGTCTGATGGGCTGAAGGCAGTTTAAGGTGCTCTCTGCAGAGTTTGATGTAACGTTCTCACCCTGGCCTGCTTTTGACCTGCTCTAGAAGGAGCAGTAATAGATGGCAAAGACAGACATAGATTATAGTTTTGATAAGCCTTCTTTCCCTGAGAGCAATTACTTCCTTGGGGGTCTCTGAAGCTCCTTTTTTAGCAAATCAAGAGTGTTTCTTTGCTCCAGAAACACTTGAGTTCATTGCTGCATTTAATAGTCTGTTCAACTGAGGTCTTTCTCTTTTTCTCCCCCCCATAGTCTTAGGAAAAGTCCTGAGTGCAGTGGGCAGTGCACAGTTACTAATGTCACAGAAGTTCCAGCAATTCCACGGCCTCTGTGAACAAAACTTGGTGAGTCTGGATGGATTTCTCGGGGGGGGGTTTTGGGAGGGGGATGTATCTGTTTCAGCAGCACTGCGGGAACATGATCGGGTATTGACAGACTACTGTCACTGTAAAAGCAAAGCCAACGCAGCTGTAGCCTACAGCCTGACCGCTGTGCCATGAGGGGTGAATGCTGATTTAAAACAGCAGCTGAGCAGTGGGAGGCCCATCGCCTCAACCTCTCTTCTGAATAGGCAGTTCTTGGGCTGAGTGTTTGCAATTCCTTCTGGTGCTTACGTGAGCACGGGGGAATTTTCTTGAACTGCTGATCAGGGCATGCCGAATACACTGAGTCTCTCTGTGGGCCTGAATTGTCAAGCAGCCATGCTGCTGTGTGTCCTGGAAACTACCTCTTTCTTGTTACTTCTAAAGGGCTTTTTGAGGTGAACCACTGAGGTTTTGCCACGTAGGGGGGAATGTTTGAAAAGTCTACTGTTCTTCTCCAAACCTGCTTGCTTTGCATGTAGATTATGTGGATGGTAAAACTGTCCCAACAGGATTGTCCCTTACTGGTCACAAAGCACTGTTTGAATCAGATCTATTCAAATGTAATACAAGGGTTTGCCCTTGCCGAGAGCTGAACAGGGCTAATGGGGTGGTGGGTGGGAATCTGTTTTGGTTTCTCCCTCAAGCTTTATCATGGTATGGATTTTGCAAACTTCCCAAGGGGAATTCACCTCTGTACTTGGGGAAGAAAAAAAAAAAAAAACTTAGGGAAACTTGGGGAGGAGGAGAAATGCTGAGCATCTGCTTGCTGATCTCTGGCTGATCACGGCTGAGAGATTAGCAGCAACACCACTAGCTGCCAGGCTTTCAGCAGAGCTTTGTGTTGAGGTCTCACTTTGACGCTTTGTGCCGAGTTGCTCAGACCTGATCCCGTGCTTTCCTGAGACAATCCAGGCCTATGATGGCAGTTCAGATGTCTTGGAACTGGGAAGATTCTGTTCTTGGAAGAAAATTAAGCTACTTAAAATTTTTCAGCGTAGCCCAAGAAATACTGATACTTTCAGAGTGTTTTGCGGGGAATGTAGCAAAGTAATTTTGCTCATGAAAGCTGTATTGGCTTCGTGTTGTGTCCATTTCCATTATCACCCACCCTGAAGTCAGGGTATCTGTGTAAGAAACCAGTGTTAGCTCTGAATCACATGCTGGGGACCTTCCGTTGGAGGTTACTGCTGTGGGATTAGCACTAGCTGGGGAAGCTGTGGGGAGAATGGAGCTATTGCTTTCTGCCACAGAGAGGGTCTTTTTCAGGATTCTTCTTCAAGCCTCTATAGGAGAAATACAGTCAGGATCTCTTCTTCCTGATCTTTGCAGAAATAGTTTTGACTGTAAATGATGGCACTGTGTCTCTGCATATTTGGGGCTGGTGTCTCCTATGGGTTCTTGACGTTTCAGTTGCCAGGCAGGTAGACTTAGAAGGGGTGAATGCGTAAGCTGTGCAGAGCGCTCTGCTTGTCAGGAGGGTATATTCTTTCTGAAAGGTGGTGTGTTTTGGTTGTTTTATGCTTTCCCTTCTAGAACCCTAATGCCAATCCCAGACCCACAGCTCAGGACCTAGCTGGGTTTTGGGATCTCCTGCAGTTGTCCATTGAAGACATCAGCATGAAGTTTGATGAGCTGTACCACCTGAAAGCTAATAGCTGGCAATTGGCAGAGACACCGGAGAGAAAGGTGAGTGTGGGGCAGTTGAGAGCGGCCAGAGCACCTCGCAGATATTTCGGGCACCTGAGGTCTGTTTTACCACACTGCACTTGCGCAGTGTAATCTCACAGCTTTGCAATGCACCAAGACTCTTGAGTAATAGTGGAAACAATTTTGTGCAAGGGGAAAAAGTGTTACGGTGGAGAGCAGAGCGATGAGTGGTGTATGCTTAAAGCAGTGATACAGAGGCCTCTAGTGTTACAAGCACTACATGAATAGGTTTTAACTATTATTTGTGTCTGAGTAGTATAAAACACACCTACTGGAACCTTTTGAAAATGCAGCACAGGCTGTGTCCCTGGGCCAGGCTTTCTGACTAGACATAAGGGTAGGAAGGAGGGCTACAGCTCTGGGCAGGGTGGCTTATTAAAATTTTGCAGTTCCAGATGTTCTCAGTCTTCATGGTGCCTGTGCTGTGCTCTGACCTATAGCTGGGCCAGACATAGTCTGCAGGCTCCAGTCCACATCACAGAAGGCCTCTGTACTGTGAAATGCAAAATGGCACACTTCTAGAAATTGGGGAAGCTGATTTTCAGCGTCTTGCTCAAGAACTGCTCCTGCTTCTTTCACCTGACAGTCAATCTCATTGCTTGGTCCCTCACACCATAAGAGTCCCCACCATATCAGAGAGCGAGCTTCTGTATATGCATTTTTATTTTATGTTTGGGTTTTTCCTTACTGTCTCCCTAAAGGAAGAGAAGAAACCACCCCCTCCAGTGCCAAAGAAGCCAGCCAAGTCCAAATCCCAACTGAACCGGGACAAAGCCTCCGATTCAGACAAGCAGCGCCAGGAAGCTCGCAAGCGTCTTATGGCAGCCAAGCGGGCTGCCTCTGTCCGGCAGAACTCGGCCACGGAGAGCGCAGATAGCATCGAGATCTACGTACCTGAGGCACAGACCCGCCTTTGAGCAAAGGGGCAGAGGAAGGAACCGTGTGGTTTTTATAAGTCATTAAAAAGGAAAAAAAAAAAGGTTCTCTCTAAACTAGTGTGATTTATTCAGTCTAGAGACAATGAGCCATCCTTGAAAAGGGCTCCTGAGTTGGCTTTTTTCTCTCAGCTTTAAGTAATGAAGATTTTAAAAAAAAACAAAAAAAGAAAAAAATACCCCTCGTTTTCTCACTGGCTGTGGTGTTGCTGAATGGACTGAACAGACTCCTGGAAACTCCAGCCCCTCGACTTGGAACTTCAGTCTTTTTACTTGTTCTATCTAATTGGAATTATTAGCTTGTTTACAAGAAGAGGACAAGAAAAACATGAAGCCTTGAGCACTTGCCATGCTGTGTTCTTCCTCCTCCTCAGTTCTGTTCTTCCTTCTCATCCTTTATTTTTTTTTCCTTCTTCTGCTCCCTTTATCCCACCTTTTGCATGGCTTCGTTTACCGTGTTAAGAAATAACCTCTCTTCCACAGAGCTCCCGAAGAGAACACCCATTCAGTGTGTACTACTGTTGCACTCTGCTAGCAAGCAGCCTTTCTTGGGGGTTTTTTGTTTTCCTTCTGATGGGGGATATTGGGGTGGGGGCAGGATGGGTGGGCAGGGCAGTGGGTTTGTATTCCTCTGTTTTATTGAAGTGAGAGGGTGACAGGGTCTGTGGAATGTAATGCAGAGTTGTTCAAATGCAGCCCAGAAGCAAATGTGCAATAAGCTGGCAAAGGGGGAAGGGGCAGTGCTTGGCTGGCTGATCCCGAGAGCCGTACCCTACTCCAGGCACAGGAGGGGAGCTGAAGGACCACAGAGCAACTATGGGCGTGATCCACACACGCTTCACTTTGATATTTTTTTTTTTTCCCTCCTCTTCCCTTTACCTTTACAAAATTATTTTCCTTGAATTGCTTGTTGAGAAAGAAGCTGCTACACTGGGGGACCTGTTTCAAAGCGGGCTGGGGAAGGGGAGGGCTGGGGAGAGCGTAACAGAATTTCAGGGTGGGAGGACTGGGTTTTGTACAAAGAGGAAGGCACAGGTAGCTGGTGGTAGGCTGCCTGCCTGTATGTATGTGTACATATGCACATATACACTTAGTAGTACCTGTACATTTAATTCATACACACGTATACATGCCCATACGCACAGTGCAGACGGTATACTAAAAGCACCTTGGTGAGAATGGGCATATGTATAGCATATATTTTTACATGTACTATATCTAGATGTGTTTGTAAAAGTGTGTGTAAAAATATATACCCTGTGTGTAATCAGATGACTATTTTTTCCTTATCTCCCTGCTCTTTGGGTAGAGGAAGGATTGCTAAATATTTTTTAGCCCATTTTCCTCTTTGTAGGTCTCCTTTTCAGTCTGGCTTCTTCAAGCCGGAACTGCCACCACCAAATTCTTTGCCACCCCCTCAAAATAAGCATTTGGCCCTATCCTGAGTGATCTTGCTGGGGATTTTTTTTTTCCCTTCACTTGCTTGAATGAGTGGGGAGATTGTGTGTTACTTTCATGGGGGTGAGGGTAGAGTCCCAAAGAATTTCAGCAAGGGTGTTGGTGATCCAGAAGGCAAAAAAATAAATAAAAGTGAAATCCTGAATGATGTCTGAGTGACCATTGTATACTGTCCAGTGTTGTCCATGTTAGGTGCTCTTGGAGACTTCTGCCAATCTACCATAAACTGTCAAACATGGAATTAGATTCCCATCAAAGCTTGGCCATAATGTAACTCAAATTCAGCCTTGTGGGTAGAGACAGTGACTTGTTGGGCTGCGCTGTTGGGTTTTTGGGGAGGATTGTAAAGATGCAGTTTCAGGGATCTCTAGCATTGAAATGAGGAACACCAGGGAAAGGTGGTTGGGTTTTTTTGGTTGGTTGGTTTGTGTGGAGGTTTGGTTTGTTTTTAAATTTACTCTTCC